TTTTCTGTTAACATATTTATCTGTTGGTACATGGAATGTGAGTCTTTCCTATTACCATATTTATCTGTTGGTACATGGAATGTGAGTCTTTCCTATTAACATATTTATCTGTTGGTACATGGAACGTGAGTCTTTCCTATTAACAGATTTATCTGTTGGTACATGGAATGTGAGTCTTTCCTGTTAACATATTTATCTGTTGGTACATGGAATGTGAGTCTTTCCTGTTAACATATTTATCTGTTGGTACATGGAATGTGAGTCTTTCCTATTAACAGATTTATCTGTTGGTACATGGAATGTGAGTCTTTCCTGTTAACATATTTATCTGTTGGTACATGGAATGTGAGTCTTTTCTGTTAACATATTTATCTGTTGGTACATGGAATGTGAGTCTTTTCTGTTAACATATTTATCTGTTGGTACATGGAACGTGAGTCTTTCCTGTTAACATATTTATCTGTTGGTACATGGAATGTGAGTCTTTCCTGTTAACATATTTATCTGTTGGTACATGGAATGTGAGTCTTTCCTGTGATTTTCCCCTACCTCTGTGCACATTTTATTCAGCCAGGTTTATTTAGCCACTTTGCATTTGTTCACTATTTCTTTTTTGTATTCTAGAGTTTTCTTCTTTGTCATTCTTTTTCTTCCTTCTTTCATCTATCAATTGCAGAATTTCAGTTGACGTCCATTTCTTTTTGCAACTCTATGGGTTGGTGGGATTGTCTCTTTTGATGTCTGTTGATTTGAACATGCAACATATCCCGCTGTTCGTCAATAGTTTGTATAAATTCCATTGCATTATACTAGTTTTTTACAGTGACATTGTACTGGTCCTTAATTTCTTTATCCGTTCTAAGTATTTCTACACTTAACTTAATGTTCTTTGATGTTTTCTTAATATTCTTTAGTTTTATTACAATCTTTCCTATAACTGGAACATGGTCACTAAAGCAGTCTGCTCCTGGTCTAGTTTTTTTCTCCAATTAAGCTGCTCCTGAATCTTCTTGAAATCAAATTATAATTAATCTGATTGCAGACATTATCACCAGGACTTTTCCAAGTCCACAACTTCCAGGATGGTGTTTAAACCAGGTGATACCTTTTATCATGCTGTGCGACTCAGCCCATGCTATTAATCCGTCACCTCTCACATTATGTTCTTCTATGCCATATCCACCCGTTATTTCGTACACTTTTTCACTTTCTATTTCCATGTTGAAATATCCAAGTACCATTGTTACTTCACAATTTTTGCATTGATCATCAGCCATGGCTAACTCGTCATAAAATGTGTCAATATCTTCTTCTGCATCAATACACTTATCAGTATCACACTATATTTTAACATGTGTCCGGTAAACCAAAGTAAGCTTGTCGCTCGGTCGTCCAGGCATGCTGACTGTTCTAATTTGGCTGCCGTGGCGACTTCTTATCTCACAGTACCTCCTGCGAAACCACCAAGTCGTCTTGTCTCTGGCCGAAAGAATAAGACCATCCGGTAATTCCGTACAGCGGGGAACCAGCCCTGAGCTTCATGAACTCAGGAGGGCCCACCTCCGAATGCGTCTAGGAATCGTGGGCCGAAACGCGTGTCGACGAGGATAATTTCTACTGACGACTGGTAGATCCCTGCTGTACTTGCTCCCTGTGAGTTTATTCCTATAACCGCCCATTGTACAATGTCTCGGACGTAAAGCCGCACAAATTCTCTCCCCAAATTCTCACCACAAATGCTCCCCGATCTTTCCTTGAGCAGTTCTTTTGTTACTCTACAGAATTCACCCCCATTTCAGGCTGCTTGTGAATCCTGTCAAGCGTACAGCTGAGTCCAGCTGAGTCGTTCACGGCTTTTCTCGTAGTCAATCTGTCTAGTTTCACCTGGAGTTTCTATATGGGTCATCTTATTCACGCACAACGGTCTAGGAACATCATCATGTTGCCGACCTAGCATCTGACACGGGTAAAAATCCGTTCTCGCGGTTTTTGGACAAGAGAATAGATTGGGACCTCAACACCTAATGTTCCCAAAGAGAACAACGATACACTGTAGCCAACCCCCATTGTGGAGACGGCACCGAACTTTCATATTATTATAACATTAATTTAAAATTTTGCCTAAATATTTAAACGGAAGACTATTTATGAACCAGTACTACTAAAAGATACGATGTAAGATTAAATAATATATGTAACAGGGAATCAGTTGTGGACCCGGCAAGGAGCGATGTATCTGAGGAAGAGAATGGCGTGTGGATAATGAGTGTGCTACTGGAACAGTTAGCGTCTACACGTTGAGAAACTTCCTGTCCGGCGCTCCAGCGTAATTGGTAGCCAATTGGAAGTCAGGTGAGAATCCCCATGCGTCTCGGGTTTTATCTGGGGCATGAAAGAAAAGCTGCACACTACCAAGATTTAACGGTCTACGCGGCACTGAGGATGAAGGGCTCACGACACTGAGTCACATGGGCTATGCTCGGGTGCTTCTGGTCAAAGACATTCTGCTGCAGACAGAAAATCTATAGGAAAGAACACTTGGTGTGAACTGTTTGATAACCAGTAATTATTTGTAGGATACAATGTAGAAGAAGCGTGATCAATTTTACAAAAAATATGCAGGTGTGCGAGATGATGAGGAGTCCTTTAGGTTGGCTTCTGTCACTTCTATGGATGTTGAGCCGCTTTATGATAAGGCGGACGTGGTAAAGACTCTCTTGCATCGAATGGACATTGCAGTGTAACGAATCTATACATGGAAAGACTAATTCAACGCCGGTAAACAGCGGTTCTGGGAAATATTCAACGATGAAGTAGAAACATTGGAGGGCTTTTAATCAGGTCACAACTGTTACTTTTAGCGCGTCGACTCCCTATTGGGAAAAGACGGAGCACGCGTGGGAATACTCCGAATGCAGTGATGTCAGTTCTTGATTTATTTATTTATTCATTCATTTTACAACATAATATACAAAAGACTTCAAAGTTATAGATTTCTCACACTGGCTAACTGTAACTCCAAATCGACTACATCCTTGGCGTCCTTCTCAGCAACTTCCCGGTTGGCGTTGAGCGCAATGGCTGTTTCGGCTAGGTATTTCTCGTATGCCATGATACTTGGATCATTCCGTTCTTTGCCGAGAGACTCCTGCGTCATTCCTAGTTGGCCTTCAGAGAGCTGAAAGAGATTAAAGTTTTCAGATTACCAAAATCTCTATGTGGCTTCCAGTGTCCCATTTTGACTCGAAAAGAATAAAGCCTTTGCCCCACAAGCAGGTCGTAAGAGGTGACTTAAAATGGAGTTTCCTTTAAAGTCGGAGTACACATGCCTAGGAGACGAGGAACCAACAATCCACATACATGTAAGGCATATTTGTAACATAGATCTGCGCTCTGAACTCAAGCTCTGGACCAAGACTAAAGTCAAGAAGTGGACAAACAACAGAATCTTCCTTCGGAGTGAACGAGACAAAGAAAGAAGAAGATTAACATAATCTATGCGTAAGGCTCACATGCCTCATTGTAAAGGTAGGTAGGGGGTATAAATCCACCGCCCCTAACAAGAATGTGGAATAAGAAGACTAATTAAAATTGTTTCCCCTTGGAAGTCTTGGCACATCTGTAGCATAGACGAGGAATCAGCACATTGCACAAATAGATCAAATCAGTCAAACGGATGTCCACGCAAAACTATGGCCTGTAACAAGACTAAAGTCTAGAAGTGAACGAACAACCAGAGCAGTCGGGAAAAGTTAACAGTCGGCGAAGACAAAGAGTATCCTTTTGTGTAGTTGCTATTTGAAAAGGACAGACGACGAGAAAAGGAACTGGGCAATGTAAAACATATTCAGTAACCTTTTATATTTCGAGCCTTATATTGTGATGAAGATGCTTGCTTTAGGACTATTTTTCACCTTTACATTACACAATCTTACTTCCTCATATTGTATTTTACTCAAAAAGCAGGTTAAAAAAAAAGGTCAAAACAGTTATGCTCCGTGCAGAGTGAATTCTAGAGAAATTTGACTAAAAAGCTCAACGAAATGGGGAAGCAGAAAAACGTGCACAAAACAACACAACGTAACGTTTTGGACCGGGCAGCCTTTTTCAAACATAAGTGAACTTCACAAACGTAACAACGAGGAGAGGAGGGTATGTAGATCTCTAAGGGGTGACGTGAGCAACGTTTAAAAATTGTGATGTGGAATAAATAAAATAAAATAAACGATGGCTAAAAATATAGTATCACAAAAAACAAACAAAAAACAGTATTGTATAATATAATACTGGGAATAAAGAAATGCAAATGTTAATGATACATAAATGATTATACAGATAAGAAATAAAATTAAGTAATAATTTGAAATAAAATAATAGAAAAGAAAATAACTAACATTTAAAATGTGATAAGAGTAGAACTATTTAGATGAAGGTATGCTGGATATTGATTCCACCTGGACTAAGAACGCTTAGGCTATGGATGGGGCAATTTTCCAAAGCGAGGCGCGTAGTATGATCGCCAGAGCAAGATTTTAATGCTGTGACAGAAATATCATCTTTACCTCTGTAGGCAGAACTATTAAAATAGAGAGGGATTGGTTTAAGTGTCTTCTTGTCAATATCGGAGAAGTGTTCCCGGAAACAATCAGCTAGCTTCCTGCCAGTTTACCTAATGTATGCCTTGCTGCCTTGCTGCATCATTTGCAGATAAATGCATAAATTACATTGCGGGATTCACAAGTAAAAGGTTTCCTAATTTGGAAAGAACCATTACATTGCAGAGAGTTTGAAAAAAAAATTTAAAAAATTTCTATACGACTGTAAAGTGAATTTATTATTAAAAACAAACAATAGCCATTTGGTGAATTTCATTGTGATATTGTAAATAAACATGACAAAATCAAAAAAAAATTATAAATTTAAATTCTTGCAAATAACTTTTGAACAATATTTGGCTAAATTATTTAGTAGTATTCTACGGCATGCATGTTGGGAGCACGTCAAAACTGGATCCCATAAACGAAATGGAAACAAAAGTGACTGAATGATAAAGCATACACACTACTGTTGACAACCACTCTTCTGCCACTGTCAGAACCTCTAGCAAACAAACAAACAAAACTTACTTCGATAACGTTGGTAGTACTGTCATTCATATCGGTGCTAACTGTGATGGAAAATAACGGCTCTACATCCTCTACCATGTAGCGGACGATGAGCTCGTTCAGGTTAAAGTTAGCGTCAGTCCAGTTCGGGTTGAGTGTGGGCCAGTCATCAGTGAATTCTGTATCGTTGAAATACGGTTCTAAGCCCACAACTTCTATTTGGGCTGGCGAGCAAAAGTAGCACAAGAGTAGACTTGTGTTGTCTGTAACTATGTGTGCCTGTGTGTATGTGCGTGTATGTGCGTATATGTGCGTATTTGTGTGCAAGTGCTGGTGTGGGTTAGTATGTTTTTTTTCCCTTTCGTTCGTCTGAAAGGTGCAAACACGGAAGACACATTGGCCAGTGTTGACTGTAATTGGCTGTCTGTATGAGTCTGTATGTGGACCTAACATAAAAGCTCACAAATTGCAGGAGTACAGTCGGCAGTACACTGTGGGTCTCTGGGGAAAAAAAAAGGGGGGGGGTGTCTGTGTATGAGAAGGAAATAAAGAAACACAGAGAGATTCAGTGTGTACATATTTCAGTCAGAGTTTCTCTCTGTCTGTCTTGATTATTTTTCTTGTATATGTGTATGTATGCATGTACGTATGCGTGTACGTATGCGTGTACGTATGCGTGTACGTATGCGTGTATGTATGTATGTATGTATGTATGTATGTATGTATGTATGTATGTATGTATGTATGTATGTATGTATGTATGTATGTATGTATGTATGTATGTATGTATGTATGTATGTATGTATGTATGCATGCATGCATGCATGCATGCATGCATGCATGCATGCATGCATGCATGCATGCATGCATGCATGTATGTATGTATGTATGTATGTATGTATGTATGTCTGTATGTATGTATGTATGTATGTATGTATGTTATGTATGTATGTATGTATGTATGTATGTATGTATGTATGCGTGTATGTATGTATGTATGTATGTATGTATGTATGTATGTATGTATGTATGCGTGTACGTATGTCGTGTATGTATGTATGTATGTAGTATGTATGTATGTATGTGTATGTATGTATGTATGTATGTATATGTATGTATGTATGTATGTATGTGACCTTCAAAGCTAGCAGTGCCTTTGCCAGTCAAGAGTCTAACGTTTGGAACAGAAGTAACTTAAGCCTTTGAACAAAGTTTTGTTTAAAGTACATAAAACAATTTTTCTTCCACTTCTTTTGAATGCATGCAAAACCAGCAAAGTGTCGATTGGTTAAGTCACTTCCACACAGTTTGTCTTTGGAAGCTGCTAAACATCAGTTGACAAGTAACATCCTTGATGCTGTTATGTTCGAATGAACTGACCTAACCAGCATCTACAAAATTCTTCAACAATCCCAGTTACACTGGGAAGATCATGTCAGACCAGTCACTGACTTGAAGACTCTTTTACATAAAAGTACACTCAAGTAACCGTGGTGACTTGTCTTCGAAAGGCTGCCAAAGTAACATCTTCTTCTCCTTCTCTCGTCCTGCATTGTCTGTCAGTGTCAGGTCTTGTAGAGTCATCTGATGAGAGCCTTGGCATTGTGTTATATAGATGCTAGTATTTACGGTTTCGGATATTTTCATCTATCCATGGCTTGCGTGGTCGAACTCTGGATCTGTTTACATTATATCTTAGTTCTCTGTGATGCAGTGTCTGGTGACAGTTTTGACAGATGTCCGAACCATTTGATCTGTTGTCTTTTAATGTAGTTTTTTTCTAGTTCCTAATCTTTTTCCTGATAAGGTCATTTCTGATCTTGTCTCTTCTGGTTACATCTAGGATACACCTTAAATATTTTATTTCTGTTCTTTCGAGTTTTCTTTCGTCTTTTGTTGTTAATGTTCCATTTGGCTCTGATAAAAAAAATGTCATATGTACTTCTGTATTAAGCATTGCTATTTATGGTGTCAACTGTTAACTTTTTTATTTAAGCAAAACTGGTGACATTTGTTCAATAATTTGATTTGCTGAAGTAACCAAAAGTTCAGATTAAAAATGAGGAAATGAAAGAAGACTAGGACTAAACCCAGTCAAATAATTCAGTTAATAGTAATTGATTTGATCAGTTTATGTTTTGCAAGAATGATCTGGTAATAAATCGCAGCAACCAAGGTGGACAAATGAAATGTTTCAAGAACAATCTGAAGATCTCATTGAAAACGCATGGTAGTGATAATTCTAATAGGAAGCGACATTCAATCCAGGTGCTGATATCTTTATCATGTAGCAGCGACATGTGAAACTGCCATGTCTTCAGCAGCAGCTCAACAGGGAAATGCTAAATACAATCGTCAGCTTTGTCCAGAGAATGATGTTGCCAATATTAAAGTTCCATACTGCACAAGAACTTCTGGTGACAGGATTCCCCAAACAAGATGTCAGCCATTTGCACACTCACAAACCTGCTGCTTCTTCTTCCTAGTGGATGCAATTAATGACAAGCCTCACTTGTGATGGACTATCAACAACATGTTGGAGGTTTTAGTTTCTAGACTTACCTTCGTCCACACAAGACTGATAAAACTTTTTCATTTTGCGGAGATATTCTGGGTGAGATGGAGAAGACTCTTCAAGTATAATGTCTGCAAATATAAACACACAACTGACCGCATTCAGAGAAATACTAGTGCATGAAGTCATTGGAGAATATCTTGTTCTTGGTCTAACTCTTACTCTATATCTCTCTTCTCTTTTGGCATATCAATTGTTCGTTATAGCATCAGAAGGCATTCTTTCCATATAGGCAAACCGTTTGATTTGCTGTCTTTGTATATAATTTAGTATTGCTTATCTTATGTGACCTCATTCCTGATTGGATCTCTTCTGGTCAATCCTCCAATCATTCTTAGACGCTCATCTAGGGATCTAGAAGTCTAGAACTCCTGACAACAGCCAGACTTCTTGGAATGTCTAATCCATACTCTGCACTCTGTCTGTTGACTTGATCTGCTAGATCCTCAAACTTCTGCTTACTGTGTCGTCAACATATTTCAGATCGTTTATTTTCCTTCTAATAATATTCACACCGATCAGTTCTCCAATTTTTTTTTTTAATGTGTGTATATAAGTTAAAAAGAATTAGAATAACACACATCCATGACGTACTCATATTCGCTTTTTTTTTTTTAAATCTCTGCGATAAGATGACGCTTTTTTGTCTAACCGTTTCTGTTTCTTCACAGTTTATGCTACTAATAATTCAATATCCTTTCCGTCTAATCCTTTATTTTAGAGACATGAATAAGCTGGTTTATATAAGTTGAGTTTTTGAAAGAAAAATTTGGGGTCGACTTCACTGCTTCAAGTCTTCCAATGTCGTTCTGTTTCTCTCTATAGAATGGTCATTTGCGTGTCGAAAGCGTTGCAGAAAGCACGAACCCCATAGGTCCATCCATAACACCCAGGGATCTCCGTATCAGTTGAACGGGTCGTACATGAAACACACCACCTTCAGAGCGCCAGGCAAACGAATTGATAACTCTGAAAAAGACACCATCAAGCATGTGGTAGCATTCGACTAAAAACGGTCTTTCCTTTAAAGTCGGTCTACCTGAATGTGAGTCGAGGGACCAGCAGTTTGCATACAAATAAGTCAGATATTTGAAACGACTGTGCGCAAATACTAAAGTCTAGAAGCGGGTTTGCAACCAGAACTCTTACCGGGAGTTATAGCCAGCGAAGAGAAAGAAACAAAGAAGAAGAAGAAGAAGAAGAAGAAGAAGAAGAAGAAGAAGAAGAAGAAGAAGAAGAAGAAGAAGAAGAAGAAGAAGAAGAAGAAGAAGAAGAAGAAGAAGAAGAAGAAGAAGAAGAAGAAGAAGAAGAAGAAGAAGAAGAAGAAGAAGAAGAAGAAGAAGAAGAAGAAGAAGAAGAAGAAGAAGAAGAAGAAGAAGAAGAAGAAGAAGAAGAAGAAGAAGAAGAAGAAGAAGAAGAAGAAGAAGAAGAAGAAGAAGAAGAAGAAGAAGAAGAAGAAGAAGAAGAAGAAGAAGAAGAAGAAGAAGAAGAAGAAGAAGAAGAAGAAGAAGAAGAAGAAGAAGAAGAAGAAGAAGAAGAAGAAGAAGAAGAAGTTGAAGAAGAAGTTGAAGAAGAAGAGGAAGAAGTATAAAAAGAAGAAGAAGACAGCACAGAGTTCATATACCAGTGGTGCCAGCAGAAGTTTGATTACATGTTCCTCTGTGTGTCAATCCTCTCGTCACACGTTGCTACATCTCTCTCACAAAACTGTGAGGAACAATTTCCTACTCCAGACTTGCTCAGTTTGGGTGCGTATCTTCAACAAAGAATCTTCGTCTTCGGTTCACCCGAAATAGATTATTTACATCTGTAATGTTCTCTATGGGTGTCCTTGTAGTGTAGCAGCCAGACGCTTGCCTGTGGATCGGAAGGTAGTGGATTCGCTCCCTGGTAGAGCAGGATTTTTGTGGTGCCAAGTCAACCCAGGCTTGCGTGGGTACCGAGGGCAGTTATGGGAAGTAAAGGCGGCCGGTGTGATGCTGACCACATTACCCTTCTTGTGCTGTTGGTCTATAAAATATAGGTCTAGCCCTATGTACCCAATACGCCTGGAAGGCGTGGAAAATAGCCTTTTCTTTTACTTTTGTAATTTTGTCTCCCTTATGAACTTCACTGTCTCTTATAGTTCACTTAACCACACGCAAAGTTATTTTTTTTTTTCGACAATGAACTAACTTCTGAGGAGGATAGTGTTCCGTTAGACAATGGACTTACTTCTGAGGAGGATAGTGTTCCGGTCGCTGACTGCAGTAGCGCTGGATATGTGTGATCTTCCAGGTGGGAATTGGGATTCTTTGATGTAGCGACCACAGGCGAACTCGTTGAAGTCTTCGCAGGGATCAGCCGACGTGTTCATGTTGTTAATTAGGTGGGCAGCTGAAGTACCAACATGTAAAATACACGATTATATTAATAAATGTTAAAAATATTCTACTTTAGAAAAAAATTAATTAAATAGGGAGCCGCTGTGATGTAGTGGCTAGAAGAGTGCCCGCAGATCGTCACATTTTGGGTTCAGGTCTTGACGAAAGAAACTTTTTTTTTTATTGGCCTTAGCCCCTAGATTGATCTGGTCCTAAAGTGGTATCAGGTAGAGTCCCGGGAAGTAAAGGTGGCAGGGATAATGTTAACCATACCAACAAACAAGTGCTAAATGGGCTAAACAATATAGGTATAGCATGTAATGCCCAATACCACTAAGGCCGTGGAAAAGAGGCATTTGCCTTTCTTTTACAACTTAAATAACCAAATTTATAAAATGTTTAACTTAAGGTTGTTTGCAGAGCGTCCCTCTTATTGCTTCCTGCCTTAAAATTATGTTATATCCGCTAGATTTCCTGTTTTGTGCACTTTCCAGCCCAAAAGGTCCCGGATATCCTGTACCCATAATGGTGGTCGGCCCTGTCAGTTTTCTGGCGATACCCCTTCCGCTACTTTACTTTCCAATCCGCCTTTGCGCCAGATATGGCCACAATATTTCCCTTTCCGAGACCAGATGCTGTTTATCTTCCTTAATGTTAAGATCTGATAGAATGTCAGTATTTCTTGTCTTCTTTATCAACGTTATTCTAAGAATTATTCTATATACATCATGTACTCAAGTCAGACCATGAGGTGGGTCGCTTCTTGAGTTGAGTCCAGAATTTACATCACAGCTATAGAGGCATTCCCTTGCATGCTCTGTCCTGATCTTCAGCAGCCAGCACAGAGTTCCGATACTACTAGTCAAAATGTGGTTATATGTCCGTCATGCATTTCCTCTGAGTGTAGTGAGCCAACCAGGCCATCTGGTTACACCTAGGTGAATTATTCTCTCCAGGCCATAATAATCTTCTTTCCCTACTGATTCCGTTGCTTGTTCATAAAGGGCCTTGACCACATCTGCCTTGTCATGTATCAATTCACCACCTAGTAGTGCAGATCCAGCCAATCTGTCAGACTGTTGATTACCCACCACGCCTGCATCGCCCGGAGAAAAGATCCAAAGTATGCTCACTACCCGTGACCTTTCCAATGCAGCTAGCCACTCTGCTCGAAGCATCCCTGTCTTCACTTTTCTCAGCATGCTTTCAGAGTTTGTTACAATTATGACATGTGAATGCATCTTGTTCTCTAGCAACCGGAGAGCGGCAGTTACCGCCTCCACCTCCATTCTCATGCTAGATGTAGTGATTTGCCATTGGCTATCGCTACGAACAGCCAGACACTTACCTCTCACCACCGACCCATCTGTATAGATAATCAGATCACATGGGTGTGAATTGTTGTGAATCAACTGTCGGACTTCCACTTTTGTAGGACCCGCTGGCCACTCTCTACACTTTCAGCCCAATGTGATCATAACCCTAGACAGGTCAGATTTTTCCTCTTGTACTTTTACCCACTCCTCTCCTCGCCCAATGTTCTCCAGCATGCATACTTGTCTTATTGTGTCTTCTGCTTGAGCCATCCATGATTTTTCCCTTTTTAGCCTCTGGCCCTTGCCTGCAGCCAAAGCTTCATACAGAGGGTGTTCTTTGTTTGCAGCTATTCTGAGGTATGATTAGCCGGCAGCACCTTTAGCCTATCTGCAATAGTCGGCAATGCAAGGATGTATCGCATGCACACAATCGGGGTTTCTCTTGCACATCCCAGGATCACCCGCATAGCTTCATTCTGTATGTGCTCCGGTTTCTCTAGCTGACTCTTCGAGACAGTGAGTAACCCCAATCCATAACCAGTCATTGAGATGGTTAAGTTCTGGTAAAGTGTAAACGTCATTCTCTGCTCCATGTCTATCGCTGCCATATTCTTTGGTGTATTAAAACCTTTTTGATTCTTTGTCACAACCCCCTTTATGTGATCCTTGAAAGAAAAACTTCTGTCAAAGGTGATTCCCAGGTACCGCAGTCGGTTGTCTCTCTTGATGCCCCTGCCATTTATTTTGAGTCTGCGAACATCAGCTCTAACAATCTGGTTGTCCAAAGAACACCAAAGGACGGTTGTCTTTTCTGGATTGATAACAGGACTCATCTCTGTACACCAGTTGATCACCTTATCTACTGTTGCCTTTTTAGGACTAACGTACTCCCCTCCCAAATGCCAGGAAAAACAGCCCTATGCGAAGCCAGACCACGTCGGACATGATGCCAATCACCAAAACTCAGGCGAAATTGATCGCCACATAGATTTTTTTTTTTTTTAAATCAAGCTCAGATAGCAAAGACACAGTCCTTGATAAAGTAGGCCATCGGGCGGCTAAAAGAGGACAAAGCTTAAAATTTGTGTTTGTTTTTATACAACGTGATACTAATGGAACAACAAGAGTGGTCAGAAGATGTTTATGCTAGAAGTCAAGGGTGCTGGACCGGATGTCATGTGTCATATTGAACAGATGAGACAGATCAGAACAGATTGGAGGAATGAATTTACAGAAATGTTCTGTATACAGAGATGACTAGAATCAAAATTCACTGAAGCCTTTTCAGGCATGGGATAAACTCATGAACATATTACCTGAAAGAACGCAATCCATAGTGTCGCATAATGTACAGGTCCCTGGCACCGGTTCTGAAAAAAAAAATAATAACTGTAAATATAGACAAGTGAATTATTGATCAAGCGATATCTTCATTATCCGTTAGAATTTCTGATCTATTGAGTTATTATCAAATTACCAGAATGGTTTATCGACAGTTTATGTGTTTGTCGATTGATTGATTAATATCCTCCTCATCTTGTATTTCTTCTTCTTCTTCTCCTTCTTCTCATCCTCCTCTCCTTTTCCTCCTCCTCCTCTTTCTTTAAATCATAAGCAAGATAATAGCACAAAAAGTGTATTAACTTGGCAAAATTGAGCCATTTTTTGAGACGAACAAACAAAAAAATGTTGTTTTTTTTTTACAGCCTACTTCCAAACGCACACTGACAATTGTTCCACATTTTGTGATTATTGCTCCAAATCTAATGTCACACGATTGTGTTCCATTCAAAATCGGACTTATGTCTAATCTCTGATAGAAATTACGTTGAAAACAATCTCTTACCTAGGGCGTCTTCCAGTAAGTAAACATATTATTTTTTACCAAGGTTAAATTCAATGATAAAATCCTATCGTAAAATACTATAAATTACATTTTCTTGTTGATTGAATCCAATCCTACAAACATCGACAAAGTTTATTATATTTGCCTAAATCTAGAATTGATTTATTTAAGACAAGTTTAATTATGGAATGATCTTCGATTCCATCCTAAAACCACAAAGAGTCCCTACTCATTTAACCACAGACTTTATTAGTTCAAGCTTTCCAGTGATTATATGCCATCCTAAATGTAGTTAATCTATATTGCATTACCATTTTATAATTAGTTACGTTTGAGTGGTAAGCACACATAAGGGTATGTGTGGTATATATGTATAAGTGTGTCGGTGTATTTGTGACGTGTGTTTGTGCATGATAATGTATGTATGTGTATATGTGGATGTACATGTATGTTCGTTTTTGTATGTGTGGTATGTACAAAAGGTAGTTGTGTTTGCGTGTGTAGGAGTATTTGTGTACGTATGTGTATTGTGTATATATGGGTATGCCTGGCTATGTAAATGTGAAGGAGATTTAAAAATCCCAATCTGGACGGCAGACCAAAAAGGCAGGTCCCGGATACCCCGTTCAGTCTCTAAACAACCTATAATTAGGGCACCCCTAACGGCTACGTCAGGTGCAACCTACAAGCTATGGGGTAAGAACGAGTGAGCCTCCTACCTGAGTCGATGCCAGAAGCAAGTCCTTGAAGGAAGCAGGCACTGAACGCCACAGCAGTAACCCCGAAACTGAAGAAGCGCCACGTCATGTTTCTGTCTGTCGAAGGAGAGCCAGGCTGTCAGGCTTTATAGACGAGCAAGTCCCTACTTCTTTCAGTTGACAACCAATCAGTATTTTACAAATCAGTATAACATGCACATATAAAGCTACCTACCTTTGCGACACGTCATCAGAGTTGAATCTAGTTTACAGTCAAGGGGCACTGGAATAAATATACTTTTCGTTCGGTTTTATATCTTTTCCTGAAGTAAGCGAAACACTGGGGCGAGAGGATGGGCTTAAGGTAACCCCCCTCCTCCCACCCCCCTCTTACAAATATCATGGGGGACCGGAGCCTCAGTGAATCTAAGCCTTGTTTGAGTGCATAGTCAATCGTTTTATTATCAAAAAGTAAAGTAAAGGACCCTTTTCCACACCCCCTTATGCGTATTGGGCATATAGGGCTAGACATATATTTTATAGACAAATCGGCACTGTGGTGGATGTTGTGGTCTGCATCATGCCGGCCGCCTTTACTTCCCAGGACTGCACCTGGTACCCACAACAAGGCTGGGTCGACCTGTGAGCCCAGGTTATGTGTCAAAAAAATTCCAGCCATCTTCAGGACCCGAAACCACGACCTCCCAAAAATATCAATAACAATAATAATTATCATAATAATTGGTTTACTAGCAAATAATTATAATGCTATTTCTCGAAAAGATGTAAGTAAAAAAAAAAAAATTAATAGAAACTTTAAAAATGGCTATAAATAGTTCCGTGCGCATGCAGCGTAACCACCACATTCTTTTTGTTTTAAATAAGTCTTCCCCTTCTACGCACACTTTTTCGACATCCCTCTCTGCTCTCTCTCTCTCACTCTCTCACTCTCTCTCTCTTTCTCTCTCTCTCTCTCTCTCTCTCTCTCTCTCTCTCTCTCTCTCTCTCTCTCTCTCTCTCTCTCTCTCTCTCTCTCTCTTTCTCTCTCTATCTCTCTCTCTGTGTGTGTGTGTGTGTGTGTGTCTTTCTCCCTCGCCCCTGTTCGTGTATAATTTAGTTTAAGGTTTGAACAACGGATCAACATCATGGCACACGGGTAGTAACCCATAAGTGCTCCGTTTTCCTTCTAACTCTAGTCTGAGTCTGAAGAAGCTCAGCACAGGCTCTGTAGGCTACTCTTTTCAATTTCCTACTGCAAACAGTGCACACGGGCGTCCGATCTCACTACCTAGAGACCAGCGGGAATTACTAAAGGTTCTAATCCACGTGAAAAAAATCTCAGCCCTTACCGGGGATTGAACCAGGAACCTCTAGCACTTAAGGCGGACACCATGCCTCAAGACCACGCAGCCCCCCCCCCCCCCCCCATTTTTTCCGTATAATTTAGTGACGTTCTCATACATACTAGACTTACCATGTATGTGTACAGACGGCGTAGTTGAATACAAGCCACGTGTAGACAGTTACAGTCACGTGGCGATAAACTACTGACGCACGTGCTAAAGTTGTTAGCTTTTACAGACAGTCGAATAGACCTAGAAATCTGGTTAAACTTGGGATATTGCTCGTTAGACAAGAAATAACTCGGACTAAGGGTTATAACGCGTTACACTTGGGATGTTAGGGGAAGTTGAACTTAATATATAACGTGTGAAACTTAAGATATAACAAACTATACTTGGAAGAGCCGAAATAGACTTGCTATCTAACAAATTAAATATAGGATATAACGAGTTTAGCTGAGATATGACGAGTTTAACTGAGATATAGCGAGTTAAATTTTGGATCTAACAAGTTAAACATTGAATCTAACGAATTTAATTGAGATATAGCGCGTTTAGCTGAGATTTAACGAGTTTAGCTGAGATATAACGAGTTATAGCTGTGGTTTGGCAATTTAAGCGGAGATACAATGAATTAAACTTGAGATCTTACAAGTTACATGTAGAATCTAACGAGTTTAGCTGAAATAACGAGTTTAGTTGAAATTAACGAGTTAAACATGAATATTACGAGTTAAAACTAACACATATTGGGAGCTCACGGGTTCAAAGTGTACACACGAAAAAAGAGCCATCATCTTGGGCCATACTGATTGATCATCTTAGGCGGTTGTGGATTACAAATCTACGTGATTACCAGTGTCTCCGATCATGTCTATGTTTTTGCCACAGGTTTGTAACTGTGTTTTATATTTTGTACCTGCTGCAAAAAGTGTGAACAGTTCTCCGATCTTATATTTGTTTTATGTCCTTCGGGGGCACATATTTGGAAGGATCGTTTGTAAAAAAAAGGGGGAGGGGCGACGACGAAGGTCCTGTCCCACCACGGTAAAGCGATCGGGTGTGAGCAGGCAGTAGTGGAACGTCTAATATCCTAATGAACAGCGAGCAAGGTGGCGACTAAGGTTAGTTGACAGAGGATGAGGATCTGGATCAATCTCTAGCAAGGTCAAGTAATTCCAACGACGTTGATGGTTAGAGTGGATTATGTTCTCCTGCCCGAGTTGAGGGTTAGAGTGGATCATGTTCACCTGCCCGAGTTGAGGGTTAGAGTGGATCATGTTCTCCTGCCCGAGTTGATGGTTAGAGTGGATTATGTTCTCCTGCCCGAGTTGAGGGTTAGAGTGGATCATGTTCTCCTGCCCGAGTTGAGGGTTAGAGTGGATCATGTTCACCTGCCCGAGTTGAGGGTTAGAGTGGATCATGTTCACGTGCCCGAGTTGAGGGTTAGAGTGGATCATGTTCTCCTGCCCGAGTTGAGGGTTAGAGTGGATCATGTTCACCTGCCCGAGTTGAGGGTTAGAGTGGATCATGTTCTCCTGCCCGAGCTGAGGGTTAGAGTGGATTATGTTCACCTGCCCGAGTTGAGGGTTAGAATAGATCGTATTCACCTTCCTGAGTTGAGGGTTTGAGTGGGTATGTTCACGTGCTCGGCAGGTTAGCCCAGTTGGTTAGAACGACGTGCTATTAACGCGAGTGTCGTGGGCTCGATCCCCGTACTGGATAGGATGTGATTTATTTTACTTGTCTGGTCTTGGTCAGATATGACTAAGCTACCGAATAACAGTAGCCGATACCACCTGTCTTCTGTTACGCCGAATGTTGGGCGGCGTGCACTAACACAACATCTACATCTCATATTGTACCAACGGCTTCGGAAAAGGGGGGGGGGGGGGGGGGGGGGGGGGTGGGGAGCAATACTAGCCTTATCCTAGGAAGAGGAATTGCAACCTAAAAACTCTATGTTATGGCAGGGCAGACCAGGCCCTTCGCCTTGGCTGGCAAATGGTCTTGGAGGTAACTTCCGACAAGCTGACAGTTAGAGCACTGCTTTTCTGATCAGGAAGCTTCTGCAGCCTGCCATGTTCCAAACGTACTGGTTTTACCTTTCCTTTGGAGTAAACAAGGCAGGCCGAGGGATGGATCATTATGCATGGGAAACATATGGTCTTGCTAGTCACACTCGCCATCGCCATGGGCTGTGAGTCTCTTGCCTCCTCAAAGCGCAATATAACACTATCGTCTGAAAAGACGGAAAGGTGTCAATCGAATCGTTCACCTGCTCGACCAGTTGAACAGGGTGTCATTTTTTGGTCAGCTAATGGATTTATGCCATCACAGGATTCGAACGCAGAACAAGAGAAAGACACCCCCCCCCCCCCCCCCCTTTCCTCACTTTTCCTTTTTTTTTCCAAGAAGAAATTAGTGTGGTTGAAACATTCGATGAAAGGGAACTTTTTCAGACGACTAGATGTCTCCTCTTT